TATAATTTTAGTAAGTATTGATTTATAATTTTGACTACGATTTGTATTTGATCTTAGATTATGAATATTATATTTGATATTGAATTGCATTACCAAATTTGATATTGAGCATAAATTGTGTTTGAATATGTTGGTTTTAGATTTTCGAATATATGTGAAATTATTTGATTTTTGATTTGATTGACTACCTTGAGTACCTAGCTACGAAGGACGTAGCTCGTAAGCTCACCTGGTATATAAATACTCCGACTAATAGAAAATGTATAGTACTAGCCCGTGTATCGACCAACAAATAGTATACCTAGGTAGGGAGAGCATAGCATTTGAATGTTCGCATCCAATTATACGATATGATTTGATTACTTCATGTGTAGATTTTCGATACTTGGTATGATTTGATTTAATTAAGAGTATTTCGATATGAAATTTTGATTATGAGTTTGAATGACTTGAAAATATAAGATAAGATTTAATATTTAAAATATGTATTTAATTTTGAGAAATATACATTGCATCTTGAGCAGATTTTGAATTATCGTATATTTCTCTGTTTTTCTTCCTTACTTATGTTATATAATATCAACTCACTACTCGTTAATTTGCTCGCATCCCATTATTTTAGTTTGCGAGCTCATGAGATTGCTTTTTGACTTCTCCAATGCTTGTTTGTTTTAAAATCGACACATTGATCGTGCGACTCATTTACTTGTAATATTTTGAACTTGTATTTTAATATTGTTGTACACTCTAGAAGCTCGTAATTATATTTATGGAAGTTGTATTATGTTGATAATGATTACTATGTTGGATGTATATTGGCATTATGGAATTATAGTTTAAGTTGAAATTATGAAATATTGATTAATTAAGTCGTGATAATGTAAATGGTATGAGAATTATGTTAGAATATTGATTATGAATATTATTTTAAAAAAATTATAAATATCATGGAACTATGGTTTGTGCTGAATTTAGAAAATATTGATTAATTAGATTATGTTGAATTTAAAGTCGACACATTGATTATGTAGCTCATTTACTTGTAATATTTTGAACTTGTATTTTGATATTGTTGTACACTCTAGAAGCTCTGTAATTATATTTATGGAAGTTGTGTTATGTTGATTATGATTATTATGTTGGATGAATATAGGCATTATGAAATTATAGTTTAAGTTGAAATTATGAATTATTGACTAATTAAGTTATGATACTCGTAAATGGTATGAGAATTATGTTAGAATATTGATTATGAATATTATTTTAAAAAAATTATAAATATCATGGAACTATGGTTTGTGCTGAATTTAGAAAATATTGATTAATTAGATTATGCTCGAATTTAAAGTCGACACATTGATCATGCAGCTCATTTACTTGTAATATTTTGAACTTGTATTTTGATATTGTTGTACACTCTAGAAGCTCTATAATTATATTTATGGAAGTTGTGTTATATTGATTATGATTATTATGTTGGATGTATATAGGCATTATGAAATTATAGTTTAAGTTGAAATTATGAATTATTGACTAATTAAGTTGTGATACCGTAAATGGGATGAGAATTCTTTTAGAATATTGATTATGAATATTATTTTAAAAAAGTATAAATATCATGGAATTATGGTTTGTGCTGAATTTATAAAATATTGATTAACTAGATTGTGAGATTTGCATCAATATTATGGAATAATAGTTTGTGTTTGAATCACGAAGCATTAATTGATTAGGTTGTGATGTTATGAATTGAATGAATATTTTGATTACTATAGGTTTGATAATTATGGATTAGATATTCAAAACTTGTTTGAGCTGAGATGACTCTCTTGATTTTTACACGACTCTCTTGATTTTTACACCGATCATGGTCCACTCCGCGAGACATGAAAAGAAACCTTATGAGGAAAGAGAAAACATAAGCGACTATAAATTCATACTTAGATGTTGTTCAGTGTGAGATTTTAAAACTAGGGGTAAATTATTACATGAGCAATTATTACAAGGGCAATTTTTATGGGTGTAAAAATTAATTTTTAAGAATGTTTGATGTATTCATAAATTGAATGGTGAAATATAGAGAAACTAATTGAATTACTAGTAATGATTGGAGGGGGATAAATTTTATCATTTATTTTTTGAGAGGGTTAATTAAATTATTATTAATTATTAAGGAGTACTAAGTACCCCTAAATTGGTGTTTCTAAAGCGTAAATTCCTTTTTCTCTCTTTCTTTTTTGTCTCAAAATGCACATCAAATTGATTTTTAATTGTTTTTTTAAAAAACAAAGTTAATTACAAAACCCAATTATTTATGGATTGGATCTATAACTTGTGTCCTATGAACACCTGGAAAAATTATTATTGAACTGGACTCGTTACTTATCCTATATAAACTTGGAATTTTTAATGCATATGAACTCGGTTCTCTTCATAGGATATAAATCTGCAAGTACTTGGAATTTTTAAGTTTTATGTTCTTTCCATTGCAGGAATGAAAAGTCAATTCTAAGCTCTTATGCCAGTGGTAGCATTAGGCACTAGCAAACAAGATAATTTACAACACATTCATGTAATTTTTTTCAATTCCTTAGCTAGAAGCCAATTACAATTTAGCATATTTTCGAATTGATGTATTCATTGCCACTATTGATTCTCAGCATAAAAAAATGAATGGGAGGTTGAAAGAATATATGATAGAATTTCTTATGCTAAACTCTTAATTATTGTCCAAAGCTATTTCAATTCAAAAATTTAAATTATTAGGTGAAATTCTATAAATGTTTTATATTATTTTTCAATACACTTCTTCAATTGAAAGTTCTTTGAGATTTATATAAATTTATCATTGTCTTGTACGTAATTAGAAGAAAAATAAGAATGATGAGATTTGAACTCACGACTGTTTGATTATCAAATCTATGATATTATATTAAAAAATCATTTTAATAAAAAAAATTAAATTGTTAGATGAAACTTTAGAAATAATTTTATATTATTTTTTAACAATTACATCTAAATAACAGCTTCTCATTATTTAAAGTTGATGATATCTGCAAGCTTGGAAATAATTTTTAATACATGGATTTTACCGAACAAAATATTTGCATTTGAGAAATTAATTAGAGCATTTCGAATATAATATTCCATAATATTTTAAACTTAAAAACGTGTCAATTATTTCAGAATTATATCATTTATTTACGCAATAAAAAAAGTAAATTATTTATGCTCTTGTTAATAGATTAGTTCGATTTGTATGTTTCAACAGCTTTCACTGTACGTGTATTTTCAACTATCACTTTTGTCAAGGCCAGACTTCATAATTGGATGGAAGATGATTTTTTTTGTTTAATAAATTCTTTGGTTACATACATTGTGAAAAAAAAAAAATTCTTAAATATTTTGATGTTAGAAGCCATAACTGATGAGTTTTTATTTTTATTTTCATTTTTTAAATTTGAGTGCAGTATTTTAACTCTTAATATGTCCAATTAAGTACCAAAATTTTTAATAAATTGATGCTCATTTATCTACATGCAATTGATTTTTACAAATATATTTTATAAATTTCATACCTTTAACTAGAACCAAAAAATGAATTTGACTTGTGAAAACTGGCTGAATGATGATTTTGGCCGCACAACAAAAACAAGAGTTAATACATATTAATAAGTATTTATTTTTTTATCTTTATCTATTTCAATATTCATTGAATATTTTTAATGGATATTTATTAAATCGAATATAATGAATACTCGTTTTGTACTCGATTCATTATCATTTCTAAACACAATTTACAATGTCCAAGAAAAAACAAACTTAAGAGAATTCAAGACAGATGTCACATGTTTTTGTATTTTTTATTATTATTATTTCTCTTTGTAACTTTTACGAATATTTAGCATTAGTAAAATCTCCTTGATTAAAAAAACTTTAATTATAGCTTAAATAATTTTATATATTTAATTATGTTTTGGAAATTTTATTATAACTTTTGGCTCCTTACTAAAAATTTATGTCTCCGTCACTCTAGCCGTACGTATTGCCTACGACTCAATCAAATATCAATAAGTTTACCCACATGGCAGGTTAGTTCATCATAGAATGGACCGTTAATACAAATATTGAAATATTTATCAATTCAAAATAAAGTTAAAATTCTTAAAGGGTCTTGTTATTTTCATTTTGTAGTTAGTCAATCCTACTTCATAATTTATTTTTATTAAATGATTTTAAATGTTGGTATATATAAATATATGGTTAATTGGTTATAAAATATCTTGAATTATTGATCAACAAGAGAAAAATTCTTAATTTTTAATTTATGTTTTCAATCTTTTTCTTTTTTCTTTTTTCTTTTTTTTTTTGGTTGGCAATTAAGTTGTGAAAGCTTGATCAGAAAAAAAATATATTTTTTAAATAAATTAATATTAAATTAAACATTAAGTTCAAATGATTAATTAATTAATTTTAAAATTAGAGAGACTGTTCAATTTGTTTTGAAAAACGAGAGGGACTATTTAATTTGTTTTGAAAAAATGGAGGGACTAATTTATTAATTACTTGGGCTTGCCGCTGCTGTATTAAGCCCCAAAATATCAAAATGGATAGGTCCAGTTTTGTCCATCAAAATTACAACGGCCATTCAAGGGGAAAAAAGTAGCCGTTGCAACTTTCCGGAACACTCAAACTTCCCTAATTTGGAAAAAAAATCAGCATTTCTCTATTTTTGTCTTCCAAAAAAATCAGTCATTTGCCATTCATTCTACGCAGCAGTTTCGTCTGATAATTCAAAATCAACTGCTCTCACAAGATCATCAAGAAATCGGGCAGAGACCTCCCCTCTCTCTCTGTTTTATTTTCTTTTGTCGGGTTTCTTTAATCTTAACCTCTGTTTTGCAGATACTCTGTTTCCCCAGCCTCTAATTTGCAGGGTGTTTCTTTCTACTGTCTTTCTCTCTCTCTCTTTTTTATTATTATTATTTTATATTAACGTGATGGATGCAGGATCTTTGAACTCTTCTTCATACTTGAAAGCACAATCCCGGTTCCCTCTTCAAGAACAGTTTCTTCATAGAAAAAATTCTAAAGAAAATGTAAGACATCGCGAACTTCTTTATTTTCATTTTCATTTTCATTTCTTGTTTAGGAGCCAATCCTTCTTGACTAAAATAAGAAAAAATTAATAATCGAAGAATCTGTTGTTGGGCATCATGATTTGGTTTTTTAATTGCAGAATTAACCACTAAAGATTATGGTTTTGTTTCTTAATTGTTCTTGTATCTTAACAGCCTGTACAATAGAGACTAAGTTATAATTTGGTCAATAACGAATTGGGTTCTTATGATTATTTTCATAAAATTTGATGCATGATACAGTGTGATAGATTTATACCGAACCGATCAGCCATGGACTTGGATTACGCCCATTACATGCTAACAGAAGGAAGAAAAGGAGGAAAAGAGAACCCAACAGCTACAGTCAACTCACCGTCAAGAGAGGCCTACAGGAAGGGACTTGCAGAAGCCTTGAACCTGAACCGGACACGAATTCTAGCCTTCAAGAACAAGCCTCCTACACCAGTTGAACTGATCCCTCAAGATCATTTATCCTCCTCTCTTCACCACCAGGCCAAACCCGCCAAGCTCCGCAGGTACATTCCTCAGACGTCAGAGAGGACATTGGATGCACCTGATCTTGTGGATGATTTCTACCTTAACTTACTGGATTGGGGCAGCAAGAATGTTCTAGCCATAGCTCTTGAAAACACAGTTTACTTGTGGGATGCTTCAAACGGTTCTACCTCAGAATTGGTCACTGTTGCTGATGAAGATGGGCCTGTTACTAGTGTCAATTGGGCTCCTGACGGACTCCACCTTGCTATTGGCTTGAACGATTCTCATGTACAGTTATGGGATTCTGCTTCTAATAAACAGGTATCTATTTTTATTTTATTTTATTTTATTTTTCTGTTGTTGCCTTGTCTACTACTATGTTTATCTCTCCTTACATTGTTTGCTCACCTAGTTTGTTTGATGATGTTGTCAGCTAAGAACGTTGAGAGGTTGCCACAGATCGAGAGTTGGGTCAATGGCATGGAATAATCACATCCTCACAACTGGAGGAATGGATGGTAAAATCACCAATAATGATGTGAGAATTAGATCACACATTGTTGAGACTTACAGAGGGCATCAACAAGAGGTTTGCGGGCTTAAATGGTCAGCTTCGGGCCAACAATTAGCAAGTGGAGGGAATGATAATCTAATTCATATATGGGATAGATCTATGGCATCATCAAACTCAGTCACACAATGGTTTCACAGGTTCGAGGAGCATACGTCTGCAGTGAAAGCCCTGGCTTGGTGTCCTTTCCAAGGGAATTTGCTAGCCTCTGGAGGCGGTGGAGCAGATAGATGTATTAAGTTTTGGAATACGCACACAGGTGCATGCTTGAATTCCATAGACACTGGGTCTCAAGTTTGTGCTCTGTTGTGGAACAAGAATGAGAGGGAACTGCTTAGCTCTCATGGGTTTACTCAAAATCAACTCGCTCTTTGGAAATATCCATCAATGGTGAAAATGGCTGAGCTCACTGGCCATACCTCTAGAGTCCTTTACATGGCTCAGGTAATAATTTAAGGATTGAAGTACTTGATTTTGTCAATGGTACGGCCTTTTGCTTCTTGTGTTTTAACTATGTATTTTTCAGAGTCCGGATGGTTGTACAGTGGCAACAGCAGCAGGGGATGAAACATTGCGATTCTGGAATGTTTTTGGAGTTCCAGAAGTGGCCGCTAAAGTTGCTCCAAAAGAAAACCCTGAACCATTTTCTCGCTTCAATCGCATACGCTAACGCCAAAATGAAAACAACAGAACTAGTTGCTGCGTATGATGTTTGGCCAAACAACTGCCAAGGTAGATTTTCAGCCAGGTAAATAATTTAACCGATCTTTTCATATTTTTTAATTATTTTTTCAATTTTTTATTTATTAAAAATTAAAAATTATAAAGTTACAAATAGATTTAAAAATATATAAATTATAAAATAGTATTACTAGTTTTGCAAAACCAATTAACTAGTCTCAATTATTTCAAAAACTAATTATTTAATTTCTTGTTAGCGTTCACCATAATTAATTTAATATTATTTTCTTAATTTTAATTTATTTTTTAAATTATCTATCTATTAAATTTTCAAATAGATTTAAAAATATGTAAATTAATAAACCCCTTATCTTTAGTTTTGCAAACTATTATTAATTTAATATTATTTTCCCATTTTTAATAATTTTTAACCATAATTAATTTAATATTATTTTCCAATTTTTTAAATTATCTATTTATCAAATTTACAAATAGATTTGAAATTATATATAAATTATCTTTAGTTTTGCAAAAACAATTAACTATTTTAAATTATTTTATTTCAAAGATATATTAATAAATTAGTTTTGCGAAACCAATTAACTATTTTCAATTATTTCTCATTTTTTAACCATAATTAATTTAATATTATTTTCTTATTTTTAATTATTTTTGAAATTATCTATTATTAAATTTGCAAATAGATTTAAAAATATATAAATTACAAACTTGTATCTTTAGTTTTTTAAAACAAATTAACTATTCCCAATTATTAAATTTGCAACTAGGTTTAAATTTGTAACCATAATTAATTTAATATTTTTTCTATTTTTAATTTTTTAAACCATAATTAATTTAGTATTATTTTCCTATTTTTAACTATTTTTTATATTATCCATTTATTAAATTCTGCAAATAGATTTAAAAATATATAAATTATAAACTTGTATCTTTAGTTTTGCAAAACCAATTAACTATTTTCAACTATTTTATTTCCAAAATATATTTATAAATTAGTTCTACAAAACCAATTAATTATTTTCAATTATTTTTCATTTTTTTACCATAATTAATTTAATATTATTTTTAATTATTTTTAAATTATCTATTTATTAAATTTTCAAATAGATTTAAAAATAGATAAATTACGAACTTGTATCTTTAGTTTTACAAAACCAATTAATTATTTTATTTCTAAAATATTTTATTAATTAGTTTTGCAAAACCAATCAACTATTTTCAATTATTTCTCATTTTTAACCATAGTTAATTTAATAATATTTTCTTATTTTTAAATTACCTATTTATTAAATTTGTAAATAAATTTAAAAATATGTAAATTATAAACTTGTATCTTTAGTTTTTCAAAACCAATTAACTATTTTCAATTATTAAATTTACAAATAGATTTAAAAACATAGAAATTAGTTAAAACTTGTAACTTTAGTTTTGCAAAACCAATTGACTATTTTCTATTATTTCTCTTTTTCAACCATAATTAATTTAATATTATTTCCTATTTTTTAATTATCTATAAATTTAATATTATTTTCCTTTTTTTAAATTATTTTCCTATTTATTTATTTATTAAATTTGAAAATAGATTTAAAAATATAAAAATTATAAACTTGTATCTTTAGTTGCAAAACTATAATTAATTTAATACTATTTTACTATTTTTAATTATTTTTTAAGAATAATTAATTTAATATTATTTTCGTATTTTTTAAATTATCTATTTATTAAATTCGAAAATAGATTAAAATATATATAAATTATAAACTTTTTATCTTTAGTTTTGCAAAACCAATTAACTATTTTCAATTATTTCTCGTTTTTAACCATATTAACTATTTTTATTATTTTTTAAATTTCTGTTTATTAAATTTAATATTATTTTCTTATTTTTATTTTTAAAAATTATCTATTTATTAAATTTTCAAATAGATTTAAAAATATATAAATTATAAACTTGTATCGCTAGTTTTGCAAAACCAATTAACTATTTTCAATTATTTCACTTATATTTTATTTCTAAAATATATATATTTTCAATCGTTCTTTTCTCATTTTTTAACAATAATTAGTTTAATCTAATTTTCTTATTTTTATTATTTTTTTATTATCTATTTATTAAATTTGTAAATAGATTTAAAAATATATAAATTATAAACCATCACAATTGGCCATGTGTGTCATGCAGCAAAGGACATGGGCGGGTTTCAAGAATTTCAAAAGACCAAGTCATTTCACCTTCTCCAACGCATCCATGTGCGAACGGTTGGCCTAGTTCAGAAAAATAAAGTACCAAAGCGATGAGGAATTGCTCATCCCGGATGCCAAGTTAGTCTCTATAATTATGCTTGCCAAGACTTAGGGGGCAAATGAGAATACCAGAATGGTACATGTCATCGTATAACCCTTGATGGGTCAACCATTTAAATGAGCGTTTAAGAAGACGAGACTCCGGCTCGGGAAAGCAAACCCTACTCAATCACCCTTATGAGCATGCTAGAAAATCTTATCCTGGACAACAAGCTTGAATTATCGAGTTCAGTCCCATCAATTAAAAGGGACAAATCACCGTTATGTTCTTCTAAATGTGGTTTGTCAACATCAAAGATATTTATCCCCCAAGTGGATTTTAGATAAAACAAATTCAATTGTCATCTTCTGGCTTTTCTCACAGGGCCCCTCTTCTAGTGTTCTGTTGTGGTTGATCTGAAGCACATCCTTGCCGATTATCTTATTTTGTGCCTTCCAAACTGTCGAAGCAACCAACCAACCAAAGCAGCAGTTTCAATTCCTTCTCCATCCTTGAGAAAGTAGCTTGAATATCTTCCTCTACTCCTTAGCTAATACAGGAAAAGATGTATGGATCATGGATGGAAAGAAGGTTAACGGAAGGGAATTACCGAGTAGGGTGGGATTTTCAGTGCCAGTTGCTCTTCATTTTATCGTTGTACCATAATGGATACTTTGTATCTTTGGTTTGGCAAAACCAACCAACTATTTTCAATTATTTTATTTTTTAATCCATAATTAAATTAGTATTATTTTCTTATTTTCTAGTTAGTTTTTAAATTATCTATTTATTAGAGTTGTAAATAGATTTAAAAATATTTAAATTATAATCTTGCATCTTTAGTTTTTCAAAACGAATTAACTATTTTATATTATTTTAGTTTTCAAATATATTTATTATTTAGTTTTGCAAAACCAACAAACTATTTTAAATTATTTCAAAATTTTTAACCATAATTAATCTAATATTATTTTCCTATTTTTAACTATCTTTTAACCATAATTAATTTAATATTATTTAACTGCTTTTAAATTATCTATTTATTAAAATTTTAAAATGATTTAAAAATATATAAATTAAATACTATTTTTAGTTATATTTTAAATTATCCGTTTAATAAATTTAATATTATTTTCCTTTCTTTAATTAATTATTTATTTATTTTCCAAATATATTTAAAAATAAATAAATTATAAACCCTTATCTTAAGTTTTGCAAAACGATAATTAATTTAATATTATTTTCCTATTTTTAATTATATTTTAAATTATCTTATAATTAAATTTGCAAATAGATTTCAAAATATATAAATTATAAACTTGTATCTTTAGATTTTCAAAACCAATTAACTATTTTCAATTGTTTTATTTGTAAAGTATATTTATTAATTTGTTTTGCCAAACCAATTAACTATTTCTATTTATTTCTCATTTTTTAACAACAACTAATTTAATATTATTTTCCTATTTTTAATTTTTTTTAATTATCTCTTTATTAAATTTAAAGCTATTTTCCAATTTTTAATTAGTTTTTAATTATCTATTTATTAAATTTTCAAATAGATTTAAAAATATATAAATAACAAACCCTTATCTTAAGTTTTGCAAAACCATAATTAATTTAAAATTATTTTCCTAGTTTTTAATTATTTTTTAAATCATCTATCTTTTAAACATGCAAATATATTTAAAAATAAGTAAATTATAAATTTCTATCTTTAGTTTTGCAAAATCAATTAACTATTTATTGAATTTCTTGAGAGTTTTAACCACAAATAATTTAATATTATTTCTTCTATAGATATATAATTTAACATTTTCTGATTGTTTAATTTTTTAAGTTATATATTTATAAAAATTATAAATAGATTTAAAAATATATCAATTATAAACTTGTACCTTTCGTTTTGCAAAACCAATTAACTATTTCCAATTATTTAAATTATTTTGCTTCTAAAATATATATTTTTCAATTGTTCTTTTTCTCAATTTTTAAACATAATTATTTAATATTATTTTTTAACTTTTAAATAATTTTAAATTATCTATTTTTTAAATTACCAATAGATTTAAAAATATATAGATTATTATCCCTTATATTTAATTTTGCAAAACCATAATCAATTCATTTCTTTATTATTTTATTATTTTTACCCATAATTAATTTAATATAATTTTCCTATTTTTATTATTTTTTAAATTATCTATTTATTAAATTTCCAAATAGTTTTAAAAACATATAAATTATAAACTTGTATCTTTAGTTTTGCAAAACTCATTAACTATTTTCAATTATTTTATTTCTAAAATATATTTTTATATAGATTTAAAAATATATAAATTATTATTCCTTTTATTAAGTTTTGCAAAACCATAATTAATTTAACATTATTTTTTATCCATAGTTAATTTAATATTATTTTCTAATTTTTAATTATATCCAAAATTATCTATTTACTAAATTCGCAAATAGATTTGAAAATATGTAAATTATAAAATTGTATCTTTAGTTTTGCAAAACTTATTAACTATTTTCAATTATTTTATTTCTAAAATATATTTATAAATTATTTTTTCAAAAAAAAGTAGACTATTTTCAATTATTTCTTATTTTTAATAATTTTTTTAATTACCTATTTATTAAATTTGCAAATAGATTTAAAAATATATAAATTACAAACTTGT